GCCATCGTTTCCTCCTGTTGGAATATTTGTTTATATATTAATAAAAAATATATTAAACAATAATAATAAAAAGCATTGTCATTGTTCATATATCGCAGTTAGGTAAAGTGAAAACAACATGGTTGGTCACATGACGTTATATTGAGGAATGGAGATGGACCTTCATATGGTGTACAGTTATATTGGGGAATGGAGATGGACCTTCATATGGTGTACAGTATCTCCTCCTCACTTGTTGGGGCCATGACGTTATATTGAGGAATGGATGGACCTTCCATATGGTGTACAGTATCTCCTCCTCATTTGTTGGGGCCATGACGTTATATTGAGGAATGGAGATGGGCCTTCATATGGTGTACAGTATCTCCTCCTCATTTGTTGGTCACATGACGTTATATTGGGGAATGGAGATGGACCTTCATATGGTGTACAGTATCTCCTCCTCATTTGTTGGTCACATGACGTTATATTGAGGAATGGATGGACCTTCCATATGGTGTACAGTATCTCCTCCTCATTTGTTGGGGCCATGACGTTATATTGAGGAATGGAGATGGACCTTCATATGGTGTACAGTATCTCCTCCTCATTTGTTGGAGCTAGCTAGCTAATTTAATTATTTCACAGCACACTGCATCTTGACTAAAAATGTGTGTAAATTTTGGCAAATTTGTCATCATTTTCTGTCAATGACTAAACTTGATAAAAATAAATTAAAAAGGTGGAAATAAAATTGACGTAAAATAAAACTGGAAAGTGCTTTGTATAGATTACACTCACCTGAGCTGACGTCTAGAGAAGAGTCCTCCTTGCTCATGGACATCCTAACCCCGTCATCTTTCGCAGACTGTTGGTCATCCGTACCATACGGCTCTTCTTCCTCTATAACCACAATTTTTATACCCATCACTTCTTCCCCCTAAAATCAGAAAATGATTGTGAGTAATATTATTCGGAGACGACTACTAGAGGAAGAGAGAACCAAGTCTGAGTGTGACTTCCTCAGTCCGGTCTACCTGATCGTGGTGATGGATGGTGTGACCTTCGTTTGTTAGATCCCGGGAATACAGAGGACGGGGACATCCCTCTGGTGCGTTTCTGTTATTATCTTTATCTGGAAAACACAAACACACACACACTGACTGAATACATTGTTTCTATGAACCCCAACATTGTTCCCTGAGAACTTCAGGATTTAAAGTGGAAATCCAGCCCACAACTTTTTGTTTTTTTTCTATTTTTGACAGACGGGGGAAAGTTGGCGGCTCTATTGGGTTACTTTCCTTCTTGTCTTATGATGGGAACAGGAAGACTCTCCAATGGGAACATGTACAGCTTTAAAAAGCAGATCAAACTCTTCCCCACTACTAAAAAAAATTGTTTTATTGATCCCTATGTCCTTACCGGAGAGATTTCCTCTCAATTCTTGTCTATAGGGATGCACCGAGTACCAATATTTGTATTTTCAGTACTCGCCAATACCGAAAGTCCCATTAAAGGAGAACTATGAGGAGAGTGAAAATCACTCATCCACATAGTTGGAGCCGACCTGTGACAATGAGACTGTCACACGTCGGCTCAGTAGATCGGGAAGTGAGCGAACACATACCGGCGCTCGCTCACTTCTCGATCCTGTCCCTGGCTGTCACTCACGGCTCCCTGCAGGGATTCCCCCCCTCTCCGATCCTACAGCGCTGACTGGCAGAACGGACAGGGGAGGGTACAGTTGGCTCCGCCTCTAGATAGGCAGAGCCAGCTGTCAATCATGCAGCTGGGTGGATCTTGACAGTAATGTCGGGATCCGTCCGGCTGCGGCGGTCTCAGTATACCGCGAGTTGTAGCTCCTTATATACTGAGCTTTGGGTCACGGGAGGACGTTAGTCTATGTCCTCCCGTGACCCTGAGGAGAACTATAGGGGAAAACACTGACCCCATCGTTCTCCTTTAAGGAAGCCAGGAGGCTTCCCGATTGGGCGGGAAGCCGGCTCCATGCTCACTCGTCGCAAGTGATTAGTATAAGCTGCCCAATCAGGAAGCCGGGCAACGTATCATTACACGGGGCCTGGCTTCCTGATTGCCCGGGAAGCTGGCTCCCTGCTCCCTCGCCATCAGATGACGAGGGAGTATGAAGCCGGCTTTCTAGCCAATTAGGAAACTGGGCAGCGTGTAATGACTCGCTGACCGGCTTCCTGATAGCGGAAGTATCGGCCTAGGCATCAGCACCGATGTACTCGCCCAAATACTCGGCAACGATACCGATACTAGTATCGGTGCATCGCCACCTGGCTTCCTGATTAGCCGGGAAGTATGTAAAGACTCGCCCCTCAGCTTCCCGATCAGCAGGGAAGCCGTCCCCATGCTTCTCGTCACCAGGTGACGAGAAAACATGGAGCCGGCTTTCTGGCCAATCAGGAAGCCGGGCGCTGTGTAATACCGCGGCACCTGGTTTTCCCGATTGGCCGGGAAGCCGCCTCCATGCTCCCTCGTGTAATGACTCGCTGCCCGGCTTCCTGATACCGGAAGTATTGGGCTAGGCATCGGAGCATCGCCCAAATACTCGGCATCGGCACCGATACTAGTAATGGTATCGGTGCATCCCTAAATATTACAGCCACACACACAGGACAAACATTCACAGATATGCGCAGGGTGAAGGGCGCTACAAACTCTTTATCAATCAACCCCTACGTATCCCTTTCTGCACCAAACATTGGCCCCATTCTGGACAGCAAGATGGTTCCTCACCGGTGTGAACTCTCATATGCTTGTCACGGTTCCCTTTACTGGGGAAGCGCTTCCCGCACTCGGGACAGGAATACGGCCTCTCGCCCGTGTGGATTTTCTGGTGCCTATTGAGTTGGGACTTATCGATGAAAGACTTTCCGCAAATGAAACACGGGCATGGCTTTATCCCGGTGTGGATCCTCAGGTGCTGAACGAGCCTTGACTTGTTGATGAAGGACTTCTCGCACACAGAACACGTGAAGGGTTTCTCCAGGGTGGGGACTCTCTGCTGGGCCATCAGCTCGTGTTTCTTTATAAATGATTTTTCACAAGTCTGGAAAAAAAATAAAAAAGCAAATTTATGAGGAGAGTCCTCAGAATTAGAAGGATCTGGCAAGTTCTCTGCACCGTGAAAGCTTGGCTGGATATTTGGGGTATTAGTGTGTGGATTCGGTCTTTGGGCTCCTCAGATTTAAGCTGATCTGGTGATCTTACCATGCGATTAAATGTGTTATGTAACGTGTGAGTGGCAATGCTTACTCCGGGAGAATACTGTGCCATGCCGTTATCTTCTGTATTATAATCTGCAGATAAAAGGAGACGTCCCTCTGGGGTTATCCAGCCATTGCGTCCTCCTGTTGGAAATATTTTTTTATATTTTATATTATTAATAAAATAAATATTATTTTATTATTAATATATACTATATAATAATAATAGCAGCATTTTAATTGCTCATATTACGCAGTTAGGAGTCATGTATGTTGGTCTACTAGACAACTGTTCCCCAGATCACTGGAGAGGAATTAGGTACAACAGCAGTACATCAGATAAGGTGGACAACGCAACCAAAGCAACTATAGCACACTGGAAGGAGGTGTACATACACTAATTACATTAATATAGTGAAGAACAGAAATGGACCTTCCTTCACCTCATTTGTTGGGATCACGATGGACCTTTCATATGGTGTACAGTATCTCCTCCTCATTTGTTGGGGACATGACGTTATATTGAGGAATGGAGATGGACCTTCATATGGTGTACAGTATCTCCTCCTCATTTGTTGGGGACATGACGTTATATTGAGGAATGGAGATGGACCTTCATATGGTGTACAGTATCTCCTCCTCATTTGTTGGGGACATGACGTTATATTGAGGAATGGAGATGGACCTTCATATGGTGTACAGTATCTCCTCCTCATTTGTTGGTCACATGACGTTATATTGAGGAATGGAGATGGACCTTCATATGGTGTACAGTATCTCCTCCTCATTTGTTGGGGACATGACGTTATATTGAGGAACGGAGATGGACCTTTCGTATCGGGTATAATACCTCCAAGGCACGGGATGTAGTATAAGTACACTGGATATTTGTCCAACATCTCATAACAGGCCAACTTTATTCTTTCAATGGACAGCGCATCCTGCCTGAAACAGTCGTGTGAAGGTTTGCTGATTTTTCATCATCTTTGGTCAATCTGCATAACCAAACTTCAAACTGAAAATGAAAAAGGGGAGGTTCTCCATTCTTTGTATATAATGCTTACCTGTGCCGACATCCAGAGAAGATTTCTCCTTGGTAATAGCCCCCATAATATCATCATATTTTATAGGCTGCTGATCATCCCTCACATACGAGTCTTCTTCCTTTTTCACCACAACGTTCATACCCATAACTTCCCCCTAAAATGAGACATTTTGATGAGCACTATTATGATAAGACCACACAGAAGAATATCATCTAATACAGTTGAGACAAATTTGGAGTTTGACATCGTCAATCCTATCTACCTGATCATGGTGAGGGATCTCATGATGTTCCTGTGTGGAATCCCGGGAATACAGAGGACGGGGACATCTCTCTGGTGGGTTCCTCTTACTGGATCCATCTGTAGGAAACACACACACTGACTGAATACATTGTTTCTATGTGAGTATCAGATGATGGGGGATCTAGGTGGACCCTCCGTACTGCTCTCTCCTCTTACCCGGTGATGTGAGGGGCGACTCATTTTCCATCACAACGTCCTTGTAGAGATCCCGGTGTCCTTCTACACACTCCTGCTCCTTCTCTTCTCCTTCTTTTCTTTCTTCTTTGATACGAACTTTAAAATTGGTCAACTTTCCGCTCTGAACGAAAAACAAATAAGTTAACAAGGTCTCTGCTTTTCCATGGAGACATCTTGACATTCCATAGAACCTGACGCACGCAATGATAGTCACCATCCAGATGCATTCCCTTGTCTGTTACTCCCATAAATTCCTCACCTCTCCTGTCAGGAGGTCAGTGATCTTCTTGGTGATTTCTAAAATCTTCTCTTCGTTGTTTCTTCCTGGATCCAGTAAGGAACGTAGAGGAACCATAATGGCGTCCTGTCCATCTCCTGCTGGCTTATTCACCACTATGTTTTCCTGTGAGGAGAGATCAGCCATCACTGTATACAATTCCTACTACGGACAATGATATTATTATTATTATACAGTCATTATATGGCGCCAACAGTTTGCGCAGCGCTTTACAATATAAGGAAGACATTACAGTCACAATACAATTCAAGACAAGATGGTAAGGAGGGCCCTGCCCCTGAGGTCTTACAACCTAAAAGGGGAGGGGCCAGTGATACATGAGGAGGGAGCTTTGTGGGGATTAATTGTTTGAGAACATGATGGTTCAGCAGTTAGGTTGAGGTGGGATCGGCTTCCCTGAAGAGATGAGTCTTAAGGGATCGCCTAAAGGCAGTCATTGTGGGAGATAGAAGGATAGGTTGGGGTAGAGAGTTCCATAGGATGGGAGACACTCTAGTGAAGTCCTGGAGGCGAGCATGGGAGGAGTTGACTAGGGAGCTGGAAAGCAGGAGGTCTTGTGAGGAGCGGAGGGGACGGTTAGGGTAATACTTTGAGATGAGGTTGGAGATATAGCCGGGGCCAGAGTTGTGGATGGCTTTGTACGCGGTTGTTAATACTTTGAATTTTATCCTTTCGGCTATTGGAAGCCAGTGTAGGGATTGACAGAGGGGGTGGGGGATGGAAGCCAGTGGAGGGATTGGCAGAAGGGGGTTGCAGACACTGAGCGGTTGGTTAGGTGGATGAGTCTAGCAGCTGTGCTCATGATAGACTGAAGGGGGGATATCCTGTGTAGAGGTCGGCCAATGAGGAGGGAGTTGCAATAGTCCAGACGAGAGATGATATTTCTTCTCATCTTTGCAAACAAGGTTTTGAGTTGTTTGTAGTCATACTGTATGGGTTGCTACTCTGCCAAAGCAATAGCACTCGCAGTGCAGGACATCCAACCTCATCTTCTTGTACTGATCTTCTAGGGGCCAAGTTTGGCGTTTCCTCCTTATGATGCGGTGGTGCGAGGTCATATGGAAGGGACTTTTCTAAAGATAGTGAAAGTGAGTGTCTGATATACCAACCCTTCACCTGGAACATAGCGTACAGAACATACACACGTCAGGCAGCGGGTCACCAAGTGTCTACACCTCTGAGCACGACCTAACTGTCCTGAACGCTCCCAAACCACTCTTTACAGTGGACGTTTACCAATGAAGCGATAACTCCCCGCAGGGAGCCGCTGATTGCCCGGTCCTCATCTTGTCAGTCTAGGGGTTAATTTTCAGCCGCACACATTAGCACTAACCGCCCATAAATTGATGTCCACTTCAGGATTATGATGCTACTTGAACAGTTTATTGAACATACTCTGTGGGAGAGAGGGTATAGGGTCTAGGTGCACAGGCCTCCTTAGCTCCAGACTCAAGAAGACATGGCGATCTACCAGTGATCGCTAAGCGATCGACTGGTAGATCGCGATCGACCTTGTGGCCACCCCTGCTTTAGGGTGTACAGCTCCACCTTTATGAAAGAACACCGACCCCACTCCAAAGTCCATGAAATCCCGGGCACTTCACTGATCCTGGTTCTTCCATCTTTCAGGCATTCTCCTGCCAATAGGCCTCCCAGGAAGCTTCTCCTACAGCCATTTAGCCAATTACACCCCCGGGCTTCTGCCTAACCTGGGGGGCAGGCCGAACAGGACCCAACCTTAGTCCATGGCTAGTCCAGGCAAGAGAGAGAGAGCACATGGCAGCTCCCACCCATATATGTACACTTTGTCAGCAGACACCACTGGCTGCTGTATTGGCTGTCCCCCAATATGACAGAGTCTCACTCCGTCCAGGGGGGTACAGACAAGGTTAGACACCTGGGAATTAACCATGTGCTGGCTGCTACAAATCCAGCCAGGCTGTCTACAGCCCTGGCTATCACTAAATGCATGGTAGTCACATCACAAAAGGTGATGGGCCTGTGACGGACCCCCGTACTCAGGATGAGTATGTCCGCCGCTGTCTTCTTCCTTGCTGAGGAGATCTTGCAACCTGAAGATCCTTAGCTCCCAGTTTCCCCAGTCACTAGCCAAGGCTTGAGTGTAGGTGAAACAAACTCTGATTTATTGAGAAACTGCACAAACATTTATACAGCAAGTGATCAGATCAGAATATAATCCCATCACATCCCCCTCCCCAGAAATCCTGTCTTCACAACACCACAGGTGTCCACCTGCTAAATAGCTCCAGACAGCCATAGCAGGAGACTGGCCAGAATGTCATTGTTCTGAGCTCCCTCAGAGAACAATGGGAGATAACGAGGGATGGTGCTGATGGTCTTTTCATAACCAGGTCACACAGTATAACGCACTCAAACATAACCCAACACCAATACACATTTAACTCATGAACTCATCACCATGTCGTCACATAGCTCCCCCAAGTTAAAGGATGGCAGACCCAGTGAGACCCTCTACGGGTCCACTTGGGGATGTCCATGCTGTTAGTCACCCTTCCAGTTCTGATTGGCGGGATAGTCCATCAGCATTGGCATTGTGTCTCCAGAGCTGAATTGTGAAGTTGGAGGGCTGTAGGGCCAGGCTCCACCACAATAGCTGTCCATTGGTCCCGGACACCCAGTTCAACCAAACAAGGGGGGTCTCCTTAATCCTAGGTCCATAGTCACTGGGAAGGAGGCTGGCCGCCAGCCCCCTCCAGGAGCCCAGGTCACGGTGGGTTCCATGACATTTCTTCCCCACCAAAGGTAGTCTAATTAGGTCCCAGTCCCCCAAATGGTCTTGACCTGCATTTGTCAGGCTGCATAAGTCCACATATTCCATCCGAAGGACATCCTGCCACTGCTGCTGGGGAGGAAGGACAATCACCTCCTCTTCCTGTATCCCAATTTGTTGCTGGGGAGGGAGGACGACAAACCTCCTCTCCCGGATTGCTGATCTGCCACTGGGGAGAGAGGTTGACTACCTCTTCTCCCTGGCACTCTGTTGCCAGCTCTTCAGCTGGGATTAGTAGTTCCTCTGCATCAGCCTGCTGTAGGGGAGAGGGGCTGCCTGCCCTGGCTCCCTGAAGCTTCAGGAGGTGTTGCCGGTGGTGGGCAGAGGTCAACAGCGCTCTGCTCTGATGCCAGATCTTCTGCTGGGTCTAGTAGTTCTACTACATCGGCCTGCTGTTGGGGAGAGGGGCTGCCTGCCCCAGCTCCCTGGAACTCACTCTGCTGTTGGGGAGAGAGGTCAGCTACCTCTTCTCCTTGCAACTCTCTCAGCCGCTGGGGAGAGAAACTGTCTGCCTCCTCTTCCTTGAACCCTGTTGCCAGCCCTTCAGCTGGGAAGTAAAATTCAATTTTGGTGGCCTTGCACAGAGACTCAAGGCCCACTGATTGTTGTAGGCAGAGGCCCATGGTGCTCTGTCCTGATAGGTGATCAGATCAGAATATAGTCCCATCACATCCCCCCTCCTCAGAAATCCTGTCTTCACAACACCACAGGTGTCCACCTGCTAAATAGCTCCAGACAGCCATAGCAGGAGACTGGCCAGAATGTCATTGTTCTGAGCTCCCTCAGAGAACAATGGGAGATAACGAGGGATGGTGCTGATAGTCTTTCCATAACCAGGTCACTCAGTATAACGCACTCAAACATAACTCAACACCAATACACATTTAACTTATAAATTAATCACCGTGTCGTCACAGGGCCCTACACCAATATAAAAGTGCATCATATAGCTTACATTTCAGAAAGATGCATCTACCCTCGCCATCTAGAAACGTAAGCGGTGCCAACTGCCACCCCTAGGGGTGTACAAGGGAGATTCTTACTAGAAAACCATGTCTTGTAGTATCAGGAGGATAAGATGGGGATCTTAGAACTGGTTTCCTGTAAAAACAGGACCTGATCTGTGCATAGTAGGAGCCCCGAGATCTTTTTTTTTCCCCAGGTCGCTGAGCCCCGGTACTTTAAAAAGGAACTCACAATGTACATACACCTCACTTTATTAGGTACACCTGTTCAGTTGCTTGGTAACACAAATTGCTAATCAGCCAATCAAATGGCAGCAACTCAATGCATTCCGGCATTTAGGACGTGGCGAAGACGACTCGCTGAAGTTCAAACTGAGAATGGGGAAGAAAGGGGATCGAAGTGACTTTAAACGTGGCGCGGTTGTTGGTGCCAGGCGGGCTGGTCCGAGTAGTTCTGGGATTTTCACGCACAACCATCTCTCTGGCACGAAAAAGAGAAAATATCCAGCGAGCGGCAGTTGTGTGCATGAAAATGCCTTGTTGAGGTCAGAGGAGAATGGCCAGAGTGGTTTGAGATGATAGAAAGGCAAGAGGAACTCAATCTGAGGTATGCAGAATACCATCTCTGAACGCACAACACGTCCAACCTTGAAGCAGATGGGCTACAGCAGCAGAAGACCACACCGGGCGCCAACAACATGAAAGCATGGATCCATCCTGCCTTGGTTCAATGGTTCAGGCTGGTGGTGGTGGTGTAAGGTTGTGATACTTTTGGCCCATGATGCTATCATGTCAATATGGACCAAAATCTGTGAGGAATGTCTCCAACACCTTGTTGAATCTATGCCACAAAGAATGAAGGCAGTTCTGAAGGCAAAAGGGGGTCCAACTTAGTACTAGCAATTGGCCCGGTGAGTGTATATGCGCCATGATGTTGAGGAACAAGGGACACAATTGGGGGCTACCACCACATCTGGCATCCGGAAGCAGAGAATGTATAAAAAGACGGTTGAATGAGGATAGAAAGTCTAGTGGGCCTGGGGTTTTAGGCCCATGCAAAACTCTACACATGCCCAAGCGGAACTCTGAGGGCTCCTATCCGCAGATAGAGCAGCCTTGTGTCCCGGGGACACAACGACGGAAAGGTCAAATGGAGGATTGAGATATATATATATGAGGTTTACCCAGAACCAGGAGGTCCACAACAAGAAAACAAGGATCACCAGTGGTCTGTAAGTCATAAGAAACAAACGCCCAACATCATGTGAAGAAGTAAATAGATTGCACTTTGGGTTGGTAGGACTCTCCC